GTGTCAAATAGTTAAAGACTCACGAAACAATTGTATCTGTCTAGGCATCTTCGCGATTGAAATAAATATTCATTGGTGCCATTTTGTTAGATTAAAATTCAAAATGTTATTTCATTCTCAGAACAACTCTAAGAAGCAGAAACACCCCTTTTTAATTTCCGTGGTCTGGTAGACAAAGCGCCTGCCCGGAGAGCTGAAGGTCGGTGACCAGGTCCACGGCCGTGTCATACCAAAGGACCTTAAAAGAAGGTATTTGTTGTTACCCTGCCTGGTCCTCGGCATCAGGGTTTAAAGCAAGTAGTGCCACGACACTGTTTAAGGATGAACAAAGACAGACACACAACAAAAGCTTTGATATTCAAATATTTTCTACATTAATAATAATCAAATGGAGAAACATACATGCGAAAGTCCAACTCCATCCGTCTGTCAGGGGATGGAGTTAACAGAACCAAATATGCATTTTGAGAAAATCATGGTCAAAACAAAGTTAAGATATTAAAAAAATGAACAAGTAAAACAGAACATATTTATTGCTCCCATTTCATGTTACATTTTCTGCATAAACGGCCAGGTAATTAAAAATAGGTACGAACGTTCATGTATCATAACTGATTGGAACACGTGATGTTTAAGCCTTATTCTTCCCGTGGTTTTTGAGTCAAATTTTAACGTATCGGACAACAAGGAGCATATGTTGAGTCCCACTACCAAGAAAATACATTGTGAAACAGTGTCTGAGGCGCACGTAAACTCTCTAACTTCGACCACACATTACACAAGTAAGCTTCTAAACGAATGCTGACCACCATTCTGCAGGGTACAACTCACTCAGTCAAAACGGTTGCTCCCCTATTCTGGGTGCACTCTCACACAGTGACACGGCTGCTGACCTCCCTTCTGCTGGGTGGACTCACTCAGTGACACGGCTGCTGACCTCCCTTCTGCTGGGTACACACTCACACAGTGACACGGCTGCTGACCTCCCTTCTGCTGGGTACACTCTCACTCAGTGACACGGCTGCTGACCTCCCTTCTGCTGGGTACACACTCACACAGTGACACGGCTGCTGACCTCCCTTCTGCTGGGTACACACTCACTCAGTGACGTGGCTGCTGACCTCCCTTCTGCTGGGTACACACTCACACAGTGACACGGCTGCTGACCTCCCTTCTGCTGGATGTACTCTCACTCAGTGACACGGCTGCTGTCCTCCCTTTTGCTGGGTACACTCTCACTCAATGACACGGCTGCTGACCTCCCTTCTGCTGGGTACACACTCACTCAATGACACGGCTGCTGACCTCCCTTCTGCTGGGTACACACTCACTCAATGACACGGCTACTGACCTCCCTTCTGCTGGGTACACACTCACTCAGTGACGTGGCTGCTGACCTCCCTTCTGCTGGGTACACACTCACACAGTGACACGGCTGCTGACCTCCCTTCTGCTGGGTACACTCTCACTCAGTGACACGGCTGCTGACCTCCCTTCTGCTGGGTACACACTCACACAGTGACACGGCTGCTGACCTCCCTTCTGCTGGGTACACTCTCACTCAGTGACACGGCTGCTGACCTCCCTTCTGCTGGGTACACACTCACACAGTGACACGGCTGCTGACCTCCCTTCTGCTGGATGTACTCTCACTCAGTGACACGGCTGCTGTCCTCCCTTTTGCTGGGTACACTCTCACTCAATGACACGGCTGCTGACCTCCCTTCTGCTGGGTACACACTCACTCAATGACACGGCTGCTGACCTCCCTTCTGCTGGGTACACACTCACTCAATGACACGGCTACTGACCTCCCTTCTGCTGGGTACACACTCACTCAGTGACGTGGCTGCTGACCTCCCTTCTGCTGGGTACACTCTCACTCAATGACACGGCTGCTGACCTCCCTTCTGCTGGGTACACACTCACTCAGTGACACGGCTGCTGACCTCCCTTCTTCTGGGTTCACTCTCACTCAATGACACGGCTGCTGACCTCCCTTCTGCTGGATGCACTCTCACTCAATGACACGGCTGCTGACCTCCCTTCTGCTGGGTACACACTCACTCAGTGACACGGCTGCTGACCTCCCTTCTTCTGGGTTCACTCTCACTCAATGACACGGCTGCTGACTTCCCTTCTGCTGGATGCACTCTCACTCAATGACACGGCTGCTGACCTCCCTTCTGCTGGGTTCACTCTCACTCAGCGAGAGTTCGGTTTTGGTCCTGTTATTGCATGCATTGATCCAATTTGATTTCCACCAGATTAAGTTTCCTTCCTCAAGTAATAACATCACACCTAACCTCATCTTCCTCATCTTATAACAATAATATACAGGCGACAAAGCCCTTTGTCTTAATCACAAGAAATCTCTTCTGAAAGAAAGATACATTGTACGCTTCCGTCTATATGATGAGCATGTGTTTCTAAATCATTATCAAATAGTGATGATGCCACGCCCCACCTGCCGCACTTGTCACAAATACACGCAGTGGTAGTCAATTATTCACCTGAACAAACACAGGCATATATGATGGTACAAGTCAAGACAAGTAAGGAGTCTGCAGTACCCCGCAGCTGTTACAAATGATGAACGTCGCTTCATACTTTGCAAAGAAGTGTATTGAAAGATGGAAATAAGCTAATTCTAAGAAAATAAAACATTTAAGAAACATGTTTGGTTCTAAACATTTAAAATGGGAATGACAATCAATGACAACAATCATCAATCCCCAAACGAAACATAACATTACAAAGCCTTATGAAAATTTATACATGTGAACTATTAAGACATCAGATCTTAAACCAAATCATCTCTCAAAAGCATCAAGGTGATTTAATGTTTTTTAAGGGGTGGTCTTTAAATTTAGAAATAACCTCTCGCAAATTAAAGAGATACCAATATATAATATTATAAGGGTAACGCTCTTTTTCAGGGCATTATCATTTGCAGAAGCTTGAGGTTTTCCATTAACTGCCCGACGAAGGAGGGCAGTTGAAAAGACCGAGGGCTTCTGCAAATGATAATGGCCTGAAAAATAGCGTTACCGTTATTATAGCTAAAAAATGGATGGAATTTGTTATCAAATAAAAAGAAACAACAACAACATCGGTTTTGAAACATTTACTGCAATCAACACGAATGTCACTGACCACATTTTACAAATATGGAAACGTCATAGAACAAACAAGATGACGTTACTATAATACGTGACGTCATTTTCTCACCCTATGGCGTCACCGAACAACGGGCTTGATAATGGCCCGTCGTCAAGCAATATGAGGGCATTATCAAGTTACAGTGGCCCGCTTATTTCTGATAACGTGCGGGCGGTTTAATGCTAATTCTATCCATTTTAGCTATAAATAAAGATATGCATATATGAATAAATGACAAAACTATAAATATAACGAGAGTTAATCATTAGAATGTATTTTAAATGTTGAATCTTGCAGTAAACAATAAACAATGAAATCATAAGAAACATGGTCAAATACAATAAAAGGTTGCTACACAAAAAGAGTCAAGAATTAAACCTCTTGAACCGTCAGTTAAAGCTATCCTCCCACATCACCGTATGTGATATAATTGAATCACTGTCAAACAAATCTCCATGAGTAACTCAAGTAACAAATTTAAGAAAACTGAAAAATAAAAACTAGCTTGAGGCTGCTATAGTGTTGCTCTGTCCCGCTTATATCAATATAGTCACACAGCTTGGGTATAGAACTCTGCAAACTCTGGAATTAAACCTAACTTTATAATAACATTAATGTTACCCCAATACGGTGCTTTTCCTTGAAATGGATGTCAGGGATACTCACCACAACAACTTGAAATGTGTTTTTAAAGAGAGATGATTTATGCATGCCCCTTAACACCAGATAGCCTTATCTTGAACGATCCGTGCAACAATGCAATATCTACACTAAAAATAAAAATGCAGATGGGACCAGTTCACAAAGACTTCCTCGAGTGCCGCCATATGTAACTGTTTTGTAATCAAGTCGGTTTGAGCATGCTGAAAAGTCTTATGTTGAGCATTTTACATAACCTCTTAATATATGTTTACAAATACAAGCTGAAAATGTATTAACGTAAAAAAACATATGTAATAAATATAAATATTAAGTCATTGTATAGCAGTGAATATATGCTCAGCACATTAAACATTCATTTGAAACTAACTTGGATGAATGCTTACACTTGCGAACGAACCTTAAACCAAACCATCCATGAAAAGCATCCAGTTACTACTTCCACAATGACAAAACAATTAACAGTGTGTTCTTAAACTGCATCTACATGTATGTTATCAAGAAAATGTACAAACATGTAACCCCTCTCGCCCGAAAAAAATCCCCCCTAAACCAAACCCAAAACAACAATAAAATGATTACAAAAAAACACTACGAATATAATACAAAGTTGCTACACCAAAAATAAAAAGGATTAAAATCTCTACTGCTGTCAAATCGATCCCCTGATTCACAATCGTAGGCCAGTGAGTGAAATGGTAAACTAAAAACTAAAATGAGGCTTCACAATGTTGTTTCCAAAATTCATTCTTCCTTTTCCAATGAGTAGAGGAATAGAAACGAAGAAACCATTTCCACAATCAACATGTAGCGGTACTGTGAATGATTCTACTTTACATGATAATATAAATAAAACCAAGTTGGTTCTGGAACCTGTTCAATAAATACTCCCTCATCTGACAGTTCTAAAAACATATTAGTTAAATGGCACGGTCAGAGATTGTTTCTGAAGACAAAGAACACAATGAAATGTTTCATTCCGTGTTTTATAAATTTCAGTTGTTGGGGGCAGCTATGTACGTGAATCATGTCCTGGTTGATGCCTTGTACTTTACTCAAACTGTAGCAGATGCAATTTCATTACCTTAATACGACAGTACTTACCTTTTGAAATTAAATGTAATACAATCAAAGCTCTTTGTGCCTTCTGATACATGTCCTAATTGTTAAATAAACTCTTAAAAGTCACATGAAAACGACTTAAGATATATTCTTATGAAAATAAAACATATGTACACAAATCATTAAATGTTTATAACATAAATGTTTACTCAGTGTGTTTGAGAGAATGTATTTACAGTAAAGTACGTTTATAACGAACACGCTTATAACGAACTGACGGATGGAACGAAATGATATTTTTGGTCCTGACTATTTGCTATAGTAATGCTGTATATATGCTTATGACGAACTACGGTTATAACAAACTAAAGTTAGTGGTTCCTTCGAGTTCGTTATAACCGTAGTTTACTGTATTTAAAATAAGACAGCTAAATGTCTCGGAATCGGTTTCTATAACAGTTCTAATTCATGTTTGCATTGTTTCGAGTTATTTTCCGCCTTCGAAATTGACATATATGGCAGAACTGTCAGCGATGCTAACGCCGACAGGTGTGCAGTTAGTTGTTATCTCCGTGTAGGTGGCCTCATCTGCTGCACCTTCAGCGACACTGTCAGGCACCGTGTAGATGTTGGAGGTCGAGGGAGCATCGGCGCCTTGTGCTTCAACTCTCTTAAGTGGCATCGTGTTCTTGCGGCTTAAAAAAGGATTTCTATATTTACATGACTTTTGGTAGCTAAGACACTCATATCAAGAAAGCTGAAATAATCATATGCTTGTGATACCAGAAATATTTAAAATATGTTACTGCCAGATATAAGATATTTAAAAGGGCATGAAATAGTTTCTATATCCTATCCATTTCCTTGTTCACGAAAATATTATTGGGTTTCATCACGCACATACATGTACCCTACGACTGATACTGCTATAGTATCACACATATCTCATCCTGTCTGTGTGTACTCCACAATTAACTATGTGTGTTACCAGTGGGACAGGACAAGACCGCTGATATCGCGAGCTGTTTCTATACATGTGATCTTGAATTTGCAGTTCATCCTTGAGTTAATTCTGGCACAGAATACGTCCAAATGATACCCTGTTTGTCATTACAGCCGACATAAATTCGGTTCAAATGGTTACAATGCGTGACGTGGCTGATTCCTCATGCTCTCAGCAGCTAGTTCTAATTTATGTACTTGCAGCAGTCATATATGCTGCTACTGGCTGCATGCATAGCAGCACTAACTTTATTTTGTTTGGAGTCTTAGTCTTCCAATTGCTGAATTGTGGTTATGGACGTTCACTTTCATAAATTATACTCTTAAAAAATCTTAAAAAAGGGGATCATGAAATATAAATGTTAATACCAGTAAAAGAACAGGTGTTGACGACAAATATCTTATGCAAGTGTGACAATCGTCCTCTTTCAGGGCGTTCTAGGAGGTCAACGACAAGAGTACAGGATCGATTGATCCGAAACCAGGCTCTACAAAATCGAGCTCAAACGGCGAATCAAGCTGCTGCAAACTTCAGGCAACTGGAGTACGGGTCAAACGATTAGAAATCACCTACAAGCAGCTCATCATCTATGCTCAACAGCCACGTGTTGTGCCGCCACTTACAAATCGTCATCAAGCCAACAGAGGTCAATGGTGTAGACAACGTCAAAACTGGGGTAATCGTCGCTGGTCACGTGTCATGGGTTCAGATGAGTCCCGATTCACCTTGCACGTCCTTGATAGGTGTGGTCGTGTCTGGCGACGTCGAAATGAACGTTAAACCTATGTCAACCTGAGACCTCATGACAGACTTGGCGATGGGTCGTATTTTGTGGGGGGTGGCATCACTATGACTGAACGAACTCCACTCCATGTTGTGTAAGGAAGGGTCACCGGAGAGTACAATCAGGACAACATACTCAGCCAAGACCTTATCCCCATTGAACACGTCTGGGACGTGATAGGGAGACGTAAGCGTCAACGTCATAGGCCGCCGACCACGTTGGCTGAACTTGGCCAGGCGCTGCAAGTGGAGTGAGACACACTCCCTCAAATCACCATTGGGAGTCTCATACGCGGTATGCCTCGTCGATTGAATGAATGTTTGACAAACGTGGCGGTAGTACGCACTACTGATCAAAGAAAATCAACTCTCATACTTCACTACCGCTTGTAATGTGTTCCCAATTCGTTATTATTATCATGCAATTATTACTCGAAACTAATATCTCATACAAGTTTGAAAATTCTGAGTTATTTCCAAGTATCCCGTACTTTTTAGAGGGTATTGCTAAGTAACATGTTTAAGAGATAGCGTCTTTAAGTGGCTTTTCAAAGTTCGCATAATGAACAAGGGATACAGTTCTATGGATATACAACTTCTTTATTACAATGAAAGCGACGTTCCGGTGTAAGTATCAACACCAAAACGTCGCTTTCATTTTAATAAAGGAGTTGTATATCCATGGAACTATGTCCCTTGTTCAAGAGATTGTAATACGTTTCGACAATTTGAATGTTGTGGTTATCGACTTATTTAAGAGTAAAGAACGATCACGTTTGAGAAACAAATCTCAGTGAACTACCATTTTTAAACATATAAACACTTACAAATATAAACACTTACATGTAGAATACATATGACATAAATGCGACCAGGAGAGCCACAATAACAGACCCACAGATTATCCCTACGATCAGTGCTGCGTTGTTCGGATTGTCTGCTGAAATGAATAAAACTTTTAGAATAATTAAATGTTTTTACACATCAAAAGGACTGTAATATTTCATAAAAGGCCACATGTCAAGATATACACACATGGCGTTTTGCACTCATCACATCACTGAATGATGATGTCGTTGGCATGGCAACTATCGTTTTCTTAACTCTCATTAACGTTGTTGTTTTTGACACAGAAATAACGTCCTTCATGTTTCAGACATGATAACCATTCTACAGTATAAATGCCGCTGAGAAGGGAGAAGAAGATAGTGAAAGAATATCACTCACAACTTTGCTGTTATGACCTGTCTGCTTTATGGAAGTCTGGTATTCCAGCGTATCTGTTACAGCTATAATCAATCCTTGGCTTTGTTTCACAAAACAATCGCAAATCAGTGTTTAAGTGGTACGATATAATGGTGGTGACTTTTATGATCAGCTCGGAAACAGGTCCGCGTAACGAATACATCAATATATGTTGATAAATATAAGTTTCAAGGCAAAGTAGAATGTAGATACACATGGCAGATGGTGGACGACGGACGAGAAAAGGAATAACATTTAACATTCACCTTGGAAGGAACCTTCTGTATTTAACTTGTTTCCAATTCCATCTGGCGTAGAGGTCGCTGGAATGAATCAGTGAAGGTATTCAATGTATGTATTGTCTAGATAACTGACACAAGCATGGAAGTAAACCAGGCAGTACATATGTTAAACCATACAGAAGAATGAGCTGATTTGGTTTGAGGCCACTTTGAATATTAATAGTAGACACAATGACTGTTACGCATTATTGAGAAAGTTGTTAGTGGAGACCTACTATTTTTTTCTTAACTCCTTTGACACACTTCCGCAGTAACACGGTAATGAGAGAGTAAAATATGTTTAACGTTGCAATAAGCTGTACCACGACAGCCTGTAAATAATCGTGCCTGGACCATATAATTCAGTGGCAAAGAAGAATGTTGATAAACATGGCAGACGATGGACGACGGACGGGAAAAGGAATAACATTACACATTTACCTTGAAAAGAATCACCTGTATTTAACGTGTTTTCATTAATTCCATCTGGCGTGGAGGTTTCTGGAACGAGTCAGCAAAGCAATTCAATGTATAACTGACACAAGCATGGCAGTATACCGAGCAGTATATATGACACAGGGGTGAGTTGGCTTCGTTTATACGAATAATAGGCACAATGATTGTTACACATTATTGACAACGTTGCGTTTGTGGGACCAACTACTATTTTTATCTAAACTCCTTTAACACAATTCCGCAGTCACACGGCAATAAGAGAGTGAGTAAGTATAAGTTGCTTAACGCTTCAACAAGCAATATGTTAGCCTGTAAATAATTATGCTTAGAATAGGCAAACCAGTGACTGAAAGAACGACCAACGATCTCCGTATTCAGGACACAATAACAATCAGCAAAGTCACAGATATCGACTACCCGACCCAAGTTTAGTCGGCACATACTGTGTTTATTGTTCAACGCACACAACAATATTCCAGGTGTATTACGGTGGCTTAGACATAATCTAGTCTGAATCAAACAAGCCAGTGATTAATATTATGAGCATCGGCACATAAATTATTTGAAAACCATTCCGATTCGAAATCACCACATGGCACTGGACCTACAACGTCAGGCTTTGTTCTCAAATGGCCATGCGAATTCTGTTGATTCATGCTTCAAAGAATTGCCATTATATGTTTATAGGTACATGGACATGTGTCTTGAGGAGAAGGTTGACTCCAAGTGAAGAACTGAAGGACCTACCTACATAAAAATGATAATGCATCGAAGGAATGTAGGCTTTTAAGTTTTACGTATAAATGTACATCAAAAGACTTACCTGCATCAAGATATGTCCTAAAGTTGTATCCTCCGTTGTATATGGCAAAACTAGCGTATCCAAGGACAGCAAAGGAAGAATTAGAACGAATTGTTGTTATGTGTTGACCACTTTGTAATGTTCCCACTTTGTATCTTGTACCTGGAACTTCCTTCCACTTGATTGAGGGACTCAAAACTGTAGAGAGAGTGCTTGAGGTTTCGTGAACGTGTACACTGTTGTTGTCTTCATCTGTCAATATTTTCCTGTTACGTTGGGCTAATAGGGTTGCTTGTTTAGAGTAGAGGGATACTGGTGGTACTACAATTAACCCATCAGAGGAAAAAGGATGATACGTCCCAATAGTACACAATGTGACCATGGTTGGCAATGTGGTGTTGAAGTAAAATGTTTCAAAAGGTCCACATTGTTTACGGTACAGTCCATCTTTACCCGCAGAGACGGTAGAACCGTTATTAAACATGATGCTCGTGTCACTGTGGTCAGTAACAACTTGAAGTTGGTATAGCTGGGTACTCCATGAACTTCCAAAGATAGCGAGAATATACTCACTTCCATAATGTTTCACAGGCAGTAATTGCTCGTAGGCAGTGAAGGCATTGTAGGTCATAGCGTATGTTCCACTGTAGACAGCTATTGTTTCCGTGGCTTTAACAATGGTTCTGGTCATATCAGATGAACTGTTTAGGGAGAAAGTCTGATACTTATCTAATCTAATACTGAGGGTGTCCTCGTTGTTGTACGTTCTGTCGTCAAAGGTTACGTTGCCCTTCAGTCTGAAGATAATGTCAACATCTACCTTCCTGCTGTGTGTGGCTATCACTAAGACTGCTGTGTACCCTGTGTTTCTGTACATATTGTCAGTAGGAAGACAGGAGGTAATGATGTACTTTGTGCCTAGTGCTGACACAGGAAGAGGAGAGAATGGTGAGTAAAAGCTCATTCCGCCTATGATCTGAATAGCATCATCTCTCACATGCACAAGCACTACCTTGGTTGTTGTGGTATTAGGATAAAAGTAGTCTGTGTTGTAAGGATTGAAGCGTCGAGACCAAAACCGCCCAGAGAGAGGATCCTGTACCTGCCACTGGCCTCCTGTCCCCCCTGCTGTTGCGAGTATCCGCGGGTGGTCGTTCGAGGAGGGATTGTATTCATGATCAGCCACTGCCATCAAGTAACTTTCACCTGTAAGGCATGTTAATGTTTATGCATTTGATAACATTATGATTAGACGAAGTAATACTAGTATCTTCTCTGGCACAGCTGTCTGTATTAGAATAAATGATTTTGATTTATACAACGTTACGTAAGTAAAGCATATCAATAGGCAACGGTACGAGAGTGCCTATCCTTGATTATCAATCATATGTTTCCTACATGCATTGGTCAAAAAGTAATTTGTAATTGGTAAAACTCTAGGGTTTGGCGTGTAACCATTTATAATAAAATGAGTTTTAACTTCCCTTTTGTAAATTAAGTTTAGCAATATCATGGCACGTGAGCCAAATGTTGGAAGAAATTCCGAAGTGATACAGGTGGGAGGAGTATACAAGTTGTAAGAAATCTGTATGCAGGGATATGGTACTAACAAAGAGGAATCCTCATCAGGCGGAATCTACTCCACACAGCGGCGCCTCAGACAACTGGACAGACCATGAACATATTACACACATGCACGACGTGACTACACAGCCCAAACAGTATAAACCTACATCAGTGTATTCAAAACATTGTAAGTTGTCGACCATAATGCCATCAACATGAAGGAAACTGTGCCTCATACCTGCATAATGTACTGCCTCCTCTGCCGACACATTACAGCCGATGTTATGGACCGATCCGTTATAAAAAGACAGTGCTGTGAAGGGGAGGTCGCTGGAAATGGACGTAAATCTTGTATAGTATTGCGATGGATGTGTCACTGTGCCAACTTTGTATCTCCTGCCCGGTACATCCGTCCATGTCAGAAGATCGTTGAGTTGTTTGTTTTTAATCAACACTCTCGCTGTCTTCTCAGTTATTATTTTTAATGTTGTATTTAGATTGTTACCTTGAAGCAAGACACCCCTGCATGTGACGTAAGAGTGTACTGGTGGTACAGTTGTGAAGACACTGCTGTAACCATCTGTTCTACTGAGTGTTACCAGTACCGGGCGTGTGGTGGTGAAGTGAAGACTCTCTCCCTGTTCAAGTGGGCGGTTGTAGAGACGACGCTCACCAGTAGAGACTGTGGCCCCGGTACTGAACGTGATCTGCACGTGGCTGTGTTCACTGATGATCTGCATCTCCAGCTTGGTGTCATCTACAGCAACAACATACTCCTGTCCGTGGTGCTTGACAGGAAGTAGTTGGTCATACACTGTGTATTTCGAGACATAGGCTATACCACTGTAGACGGCTACACTGTGTTCACTGTTAATGACCGTTCCATTCATATCATATTGGTTTGACATCATCAACGTTTGATATGGGTCAAGTTTGAGGGACAGAGTATCGCCGTCACTGTATTCGCTATTGACAACGTAAACACTTCCTTGTTTCATTCGAAAGGATATATCAACATTGGTGCTCATGTTGTGTGTAGCTATCAGTAGCAAGGATCGATAATAACTGTTAGGTGCAAGACTGGAAGGTACAATGTACTTGGTCCCAAGGGCAGATATTGGAAGAGGAGAGAATACACCGTCAGCGTCTACCACAATGTTTACATTTTCGTCACTTGCACTTACAACGACAGCTGTATTTTCTACATCACTTGTGATTTTCATCTTATCGCTTACACGGTGCCAACCACCTTGGAAGGGACGCACTTCACTGGATGTTCTTTTGGCGAAGTGTGGATACTGTATCTCCACCAGGCCCCCGGTTTCTCCGGCTGTGTACCCGATGTACGAGTCTTTGCCTCTATATGCCAGAGCCACCAAGTAGTCTTCACCTGTAAATTCAATTCAACACGATATTACATCCATATATTATGTAGGCGGCGAGTTCAAAGGACGACAGATGTGCTGTATCCGTGAACCACACCCTTCGCGGAACCACGTGCAGAACTCGAATACATGTAACTGTGTCCTGGCTATTGTAGAGTCAAAATTGATACAGTATGAATAATGTCTGTCTCTGGCCAAAAAGAATACTAATAGTGTCGTAACATTCAACAAGGTCAATGCCATTCAAATAACCCTGTCATGAACGTAGCTCTTCTCTACAACGGTCGTCGATCTGCCGGCTGCATTCGACCAGTCCGTCTCAACTGCGGACAAACTCAATGTTCCTGGTAATTTCCAAGGGGTACTACGTTCACACTTCGGGGCTGTATGTATTACATTAAGTTACTCAGGACGTCACAAACACTTTAATTTTAATCTCTATATTTTCAGCAGGACAATAAAGGACAAGACAATAATGAAATCGAAAAACATATGTTTGAGCATCGCACTCTTAATCTTACTATTTTAATTCGTGGCATTAAAGCATCGTCTTATAAACAACAGATAATGCCTGGACATATTATATTTCTTAGATAGCTTGGGCGACTCTGGGATCATTAACAATCATAAGCATCGTGCGCGCGTAAGGGACGCAACTCTGCACAACGAAATATGGAGCTTCAGACGACTGGACCATCATACATCCGTGTAATGTCAGTTCCGTGTACCCGTTGTTTGAAACAAACACGCTCCATACAAACCCCAGAGAAATATCTAGGTCAGGCCTACTCTGTTTCACACCAGCAGACGCACACATACACTTTTGAAAGGAATAATGATATTGCCCTGTAGATAGTTATATCTTTTGTGAACACAATTATTGTTGTGGTTTACACCATGTTTTACCACGTGGGTTTCCCGTGAATTCAGCCATTGTATGGTAACAACTATACTATATTATCATCTATAGTATCCTAAAATTTCCTTGGGATACCGGTCAAGAGTATGTAGGTCCACTGCAACCTGCGACTGTATCGATCGGGTGGTCAGGTTCGGTGACTTGGTTAAGTGCATGTCGTCGTGACCCAATAGGGTAGCGAGTAGCCGTTCTTTGAATTAAGCATGCCCAACACAAACCCCAGAGGAATATCTAGGCCAGACCGTCATTATGTCACATCACAGATGCACACGCACACTTTTGAAAGGAGTGAGTGAGTGAGTATGGTTTTATGCCGCTTTAGCGATATTCCAGGAATATTACGGATGGGGAACACCAGAAATGGGCTTCACACATTGTACCCATGTCGGGAATCGAACCCAGGTCTTCGGCGTGACGAGCGAACGCTTTAACAACTGGGCTACCCGACCGCCCCTCCTTTGCAAGGAATAGTGATGATATTGCACTCTAGATTGGTATATCTTTTGTGAACACAGTTATTGTTGTGGTTTGCGTCATGTTTTACCACGTGGGTGTCCCGTGGAAATCAGTCTCTCCATGGTGAGAACTATATTGTATTACCATCTATAGTATTTTAAAATTTCCTTTGGGGTTCCGGTCAAGAGTATGTAGGTCCACTGCAACCTATGGAGGCGACTGTATGGATCGGGTGGTCAGGTTCGGTGACTTGGTTTAGTGCATGTCGTCGTGACAAAATTGGGTTTCACAACAAACAAACAGACAACATTTCTGCAGCTATATTAGCTATATAGATAATCGAATCTGGATCAGGCAAGCACTTTTTGATAGCTTTGTCAGCGTCTCAAGCCGTCGGGGCAAAGTCACCGAGACTGACCACACCGTCCCCACTCTACTAGCATGTGGTACTGTGGACCAGTTCCGAACCCAAATGTCCATAGGAACGTGTAAAGTGAGTTGTTGTAAGTTGAGTGTTGTCCTATTCCCAAATATAATGAGCAATTATGAGTCGAGTAACAAAATATATGGAGTCACTTTACCAATGTTTTCGAAAAACACCAACAACTATAAACAAGTCTTTCCATGGATATATGCCCTCGCCCATGATTTGCCATACATAATAAAATGTAAAACGTCAATGCCAGAGAATAATCAGTCTCCATTATCTGCCGAAACAGATTCCATTGGACGTAAAAATACTGACTGTAGTTATAGGAATGGATCATTGAAAATCAGTGATGACACATATGGGGTGACACATCTGTGACGTCCATGTAATGTTTAGGAGATCCATTATTTTCAATGAATGGATTGCCCAACAAACATTCGGTTCTATACTATCTCCATTCAAGTAAACAGATTTAAGTGAATTCTTTGCTGGTTTTCAATTTTACGCTCGATTCAATTATTTCAATATTTGTAGGAAAACATGTGTCGCCAGTAGGACTCGAACCAGGATAGTATGATTTGAGGACCTTTTGATAGTAGACTTCGCTATCACGTGCGCTCTGAAGTGATATTTTTATTTAAAAGTTTGTATAGCGCATGAACGTTTTGAAAATAAAATATTCATTTTATGTTTTAGAAACTGGTGATGTGTGTTTTTAGAAAGAGAACATGCTCGTTACTCGTAAGTTTTCCTTAACGTTATATTTGATTTTCAACTTTTAACACGAAATGTTTTTGTCCCCTAATTAAAATTCCGAAACATATGCAAAAAAGTCCAAAAGTGTATAGATCTTAAACATATCTAGTCTGTGCTAAATACCTGATCACCTTTTGTACCGCGTACGATATATTTATTTATGGCTGTTTGAAAGTTGTTTTGTTTTCATGAACATAAATGTATGTACTGCAGGTTTGCGTGTTTCATTTCACCTAGGGTAGTCTTGACCACATACGAGGTAATACAATATCTAATCTTAACAAGACTTGGATCATGTTATCAGATATAAATCACAAATAATTAAGTAATTGTGATCCCAACAAATTATGCGGATTCAATTATGTGTTCGAAATTCTGCATGGACAATCATCTCCATTCTATTGAAAAACAATCCCCAACATATGTTTTTTGACATCCCCGACCGTGTGACATTTATGGATTTCCTTACGCGTGAAATTCGATCTTGATTGAAAAGCCAATTAAACCATACGACTTTATTCCTTGTAATAATACAAGTTAATAGATTATTTCCAAACAGATATTCACTTTGGTGACAACAGAGTTTTGTAGAAGATACTGGGGAAATAAAATCACAACAGAGTTACTTACCCATGCCACTCTGCAGCACCGTCAAAAGAACAACCAAACTGAAACACTTGTAAATCATCCTCTCCCTCGGCTGTTTCTGGTTCCCATCAAAATAAGGGATGAAGATCCCAGATGTCCCCGAGATGGCTGGATGGAAAATACAATCCACATGTGACAGGTCGACCCAAGCAGGTGTGAGTATCACATCAGTGACACGGCCTCTTATATACAACAATATTTTACATCCTTGTTTTACATAGGTCTCGTTTGTGTTGTCAGAATAGACTAGATAAGAATATTTGACAAATCCACGAATGCGTAGATATCTACGAGGAAGTGCTATTGAATCGCTGTGAGTGAGTGAATGTTTTGATGACGCAGTCAGCCAAGTTCGAGCTAGATCATGTTGGTGTATAATCAACACTAGACTTTGAAAGGCAGGTTTGGTGCACATAAAACATATGTTGACAATGGTAAGATGTGTCACAGAGGTATTCCTGTTGTAGTTCTCTGCATTTTATACAGGTTATAAAAAGATACAATGTTTTCTGAGGGAGACCATCGCCATATCGCCCCGACATATAAACACGATATCGCGCAACAAAGCGATAGTCGAACTGATACGATGTTCCGATACGATACAGTGACATTGCGATACAGACACAAACGACATAGAGTAAACACACAATGAAAAAGCGCTAGAATGAGACGATGCGGTAAATGAACGACACGACATTATGACAACACGACACGATATGGCGACAGTACAACACGTCATAACGATAGAACGACAAGCCATGACCATAACGCGACATGACATGGCGATGAAGCATAAAAGGTGTAATGTGATATGGTCACGCAATACGACGATATAACAATATATTGCGAAAATGCGATATCACGGTATGGCAATGGAGCGATATTGCATAATTGCGTTGTGACGATACTTTCAAATCTCCAACTCAAACCGGTGCTGATTTGCCCTCTGCAGATGCCTTGAGAATAATACAATGAAAATGATCCAAAGTTGTGACAAAGTGACACTACTACCTGCACCATAAACATGTCTGAGTCGTTCAAAGCGCAACAGCAGTTACATGCATATGAGACAAGTAACACCACATGACAACGTGATCAGTGCACGTGCAGGGTTATGCAGTGGGGTGGTTATGTGTTATCTGAATTGAACGGAACTTTATTTACGCTCAGGCTGCTATCAGCGGAATCAGAGGTACAAAAGTATTTCAACAACATAATACATATACATATAAATATAGAATACATACAAAAACATCTTTGCCGAGCATACATGTGTATTTATACAGATTTACTATGGCAGCAATATATGTTCAATTCAGAAAGAGGGAGCGTTACTTGATATATTTAAACAATGACATGATGATTTTACAGAATTTGGACAGTTTTCTCAATGTACCTAGTCGTGAGTTATTGAAATGTAAATTCATTTTATGCATATTGGGTTTAATGTAGAATCTGTGTAAAAAATGTTTTATTTCGTGTTCTAACGATGTCAAAATGTTGACTGTTAGCGTCGGTTTAATTATGACGTCATTAGATCATGTTGGTGTATAATCAACACTAGCCTTTGAAAGGCAGGGTTGGTGCACATAAAACATATGTTGTCGATGGTAAGATGTGTCACAGAGGTATTCCTGTTGTGGTTCTCTGCATTTTCTACAACAGGTTATAAAAAGATACGTTTTCTGAGGGAGGTCATCGCCATATCGCTCCGACATATCAACACGATATCGCGCAACAGAGCGATAGTAACAAACTGATGCCATGTTCCGATACAGTGATATTGAGTTACAGACACAATATTGACTAAAAGTTGACTGTTAGCATCCGTTTCACTACGACGTCATTTCACGTCTGACTGAAGCACAGCGGAACAACCTCGTCCGACGATTGGAAGAAGGAGGATTTCAGTCAGTTGTAGAAAGGATATTGAAAAGTGACGTTTAGTTAATCGATTTACGAGGTACTGAGAATGTTGGAAAGTCAATGGATGTACCGGCCGATGGATCTACAGAATATGCTTTTGCAGCGTAATGATACGGGAGGATTTCTTTCACACCGGAAGAACAAACCCAGTGCCAGGCCACTGAACAGCACAGCACTATTGTGATGAAATTGTGTAGCCGGACGTTTTCATCACGTTAATTATGTTTCAGCGTGACAATGCTGGACTGCATACTACATGTGTAACAGCAATATTCGTATGAAATAACAATGTACAGATCCTTCTCTTTTGTGATTGTATATCTAAAATTGTTTTTAAATATAATTAATTACTCGTTGATCTTGTGTGGTCATTATTTATTTCACAATTTAGTTCTATGTGAATAGATTTCTTGTTTAACCTCGTAACAACAATACAGGGTGGGTGATCTATCAATCTCCAACATGTAGTTCCTACTCCGTGGACAGGCGGTGCGGCTTGCCCTCATCTGGCCTACACCTTATATCGCCTACACCTCATATTGGCCTTCACTAAATACAAATGGTTACTTCCACACCCCTGTTGTGTAGATTGGTACTGCCCATTAACCCATTAATGATTTCATTCATTAATATCAATTTAATGACCTGAGTACATGGGCCTTTGAACTAATCCGATGTTTTCATAGTGGTATCTGATCCTTGAGTTTGTTTTGACTGTTTATACAGGATTACTGTCATAACCCACTTTGATCATTTAACAGGTCTACTCATCTCAAAAGTTTTGTAAGTGTGTATACATTAGGTTACAGGCCGGCAACGCCACATTTCGAAAATAGATAGCCCAAATTGATGTGGCGCTCCCGGCAATGGTTATGGTTGCGTGATTGTATAATGTGGCTCTCACGGCTATGCTGTCAAAACATGCTTTGTGATTCTAACAGGTTACCGTATATAACAAAACAAGTCTTGTTTTCTCATCTCTTATTCAACAAGGATATATATTGAATAGCATATGAATATCATAATGGATCATAACTGCAGATGAAGGAGGTCGCCCACGTGGTCAGCATATTCCATCTCACTCAGGTGTTGGTTCAGGAGCTGGATCTTGAGAGACGCAATACGTGCATCGATTGCCTTGTACTTCTTTCTTCGCGAAGGTTCTGACCACTGGTGAGAGAGTCTCAGGACTGCAACCTCTTTGAGTGACTGCTCTCGCTGAAATAGCTTCACTACCTCGTAGATGTTCGGGTGGCACTTCTTGGCAAGTTTCTTTATCTTGTTGTGCCACCCTTCCAGGTGATTGTTGGTACGGTGGCCTTGGTTTTCGAAGTGATTCCACCCAGAGTTGTGATCCTTGCAGTGCACTCCTTGACAATACAGGACCAGTATCTTCTTTTACCACGACTGCTCTTACACCGAAACTTAAAGCCATCATAGTACAAATATACGCCTCCTCTGACACTCCTCTGAACTTTATTTGAACTTGTGCGTTTGCCATGGTTATGATATGGAGTGCTTACTTACTTACTTACTTTGGAGATTTAACGTGCGCTTTCCGACTGATGCGTATTTCGCACACGGGCCCGGCCAGGCCATTTAATGTGTTTCCGAAAGGGGCGAAGGTGGTCTGTGCAACCCAAGAGGGGGGTTTTAGGGGTTGCTTATATAGAATTTGGGAATTTTGAGATTTGGAATAGATGCCGATGGGATTGGGGAGGAGAACTAAGGGAGCTGGGTATGGTGGATGTTTGTTTGTTTATGTGATTTTGATTTGGTAGGTTATTGTGTTTTTAGATGCGTTTTATTAGTTCCGTTTTTATTAAGAATACGCCTAAGGCCTTGAAGTTTTCTAGTTTAGTTTGTGGGTTTAGTATTGCTTCTAGAGTTAGAGCCTTGTTTAGATTGAGGGTGGTTTGTAATGCGGTTCGATGTGTTAGGTAGTGTGTGCAGTGGATGAGTGCGTGTTCTGGGGTTTCTGGTTGTTTGCAGTGTGGGCAGTTACCTGAAGTGTGTTTTTTAATTTTTTTTAGGTGGTTATTTAGGTTGGTGTGTCCTGTTTGGAGTTTAGTGATTACTCTGTCGATTTTTTTGGATGGATGGAGAATTTTTGGTTTGGTTAGTGGTTTGCTGAGCACTTTTTTGATTTGGCTATTTGAGTTTAGATATAGGTTATGCCATTTTTTGTGATTTTTTGCTTGTTTACACTTTTAATTTCTGATTTTGAGATGGGTAAGTTTAAGCTTATTTCTGGGATTTTGAGGGATAGTTTAGCTGCTTTATCGGCGTTTTCATTACCGTATATTCCTACGTGGGCGGGTATCCACAAGAAGGTTATTTGTTTGCCTGCCTTAGTTAGGTCGTTGGAGCTTTTAAGTATTTGATTTATTAATTTAGGTCGGTTTTTGGTATTTTTGTTTTGGAGGGCTTGCAGTCCACTTAGGGAGTCGGTAAGTATTAGGATTTTTTTTGTGGTTTTTGGATTCTTGATTATGGAGGGCTGAGGCCATGCCCATTAGTTCTGCCGTGAATATTGATTGGTTGTTTGGGAGTCGGAAGGATTGTGTGGTTTTAGTTGGTTGTGTGGTATGGACTCCGAAACCTGTGTGTTTGGAGGTCGGATCTGAGGATCCGTCCGTGTAAATGTGACACCAATTTGGCCAATTTTCGTGTATGTATGCTAGTGTGGTAGTTTTAGCTATGTTTGGGTCGGTTTGTTTATTTATTTGGCTAGCTAGTGTTGTGTCTATTTTGGGTATTTTAAGTTTAGGGGTGAAGATATTTGATTGTTTGCAGTTTTGTTTAAGATTTTTAATTTGGTGTTCATTTATGTAGTTTGTTATTCTTTGGGATATTGGGGTAAGTAAGGGGTGTTTACGAGCTAGAGCTTGGTTTTTGGGGCTGATGTTTTGGTTTATTAAGTTTTGGATGAGAGGGTTTGATTGGGACGCGGCCCAGAAATTTAAGCTTAGCTGTTCCCTGCGTAGATTTAGTGGCATTTCTCCTGTTAAGGCCTGAAGTGAGGTGTAGGAGGTGCCATGTTGGGTGCGTGTAATTAGTTTGAGAGCCTGATATTGTATTGAGTCAAGTTTTTTAGATAGAGAGTTGTTTAGGGTGTTGTATATGGCGCAGCCGTAGTCTAGTTTTGATCTAATTAGTGATATGTAGAGAGAGAGGAGGGTATCTTTGGATGCTCCCCAGTTAGAGCCAGTTAGGCA